CTCACTGGAAACATATTGGGAAGCAGCCAAACTCGTGGTAGAGAATAACAGTTTTTTAAAATTCAATTTTTTGCTTGAAAGCTTGACTTTTATATTTGTAACAAATACAATCCATTGTGGTTTTTTGAAGAGAGAGGTTCATTTCATTCATTTTGGAAAAAAAAATGCTAAACACTTAAATCTGAATAATTATAGTTTGTTTTTCATTCCTTCCAGTAAAAATTTTCTCCGTGAAAAAATGTGATGAGTTCAGCTCATAACTCAAGCAATTGTCTACATGCTTTTCCATAGGACAGCCATTATATTTAGTATACAATGGAGTTATTTTATTTTATTTTTTGGCATACTTTTCATTTTGCCACACAGATATTAGAAAGATTTCAAGGGTTGAGATTTAATACAATTAATATTTTTTACTGCTTAATTGAGAAAATTCCTAACTGAAACTAAATTTATTTTTAAATGGGGAGCATATGGCAGTAAAGAATATGACTGTACTGATAGTCTGATGTCACATTTGTGGCTCATGGTAGGGTGCCTGGAGTTTTATCCACCATTGCTTTTGCATCAGAAGTGAAAATTTCAACCCAATGACAAGGAACATAATGTCTTAGTATTGTTATGAATACAGTTTTGACTTCTAGGAGCCCTGGCCCCAGGAGTCCATAAACACGGAAAGCCTCTTTTGTAGGGTAATAAAGACATGGAATAAAAATCTGGTCATGGTAAAGTGACAGAAGGAAACAGCATACCTGAGGGAAGAACTGAAACATAACTATATCAGAGGTCAAAGGCTCAAAGTAGAGTCATAACACATTAGGGTTAAAAAAGAAAAAGACATCATTTCAGTGTGTGTGTATGTGCAGTGTGTGTCTATCCCAGTGTGCAATTTTCCTTCTCAGAATGTAGAAAGCCTTAGTACAGATACATTTCTCATGTTTAGATTTTTTATTCAAATTCATAAGATGTTAATTTGAAAAGGTCTCAGAAAGAGGTTTGAGAATGATTAGCATTTTGAATAATTGACTAATTTGGATAATTAAACCTATGAGTAAATCCTAAAGCTCTTGACTTATTTACTCAAGGGATGATAAGTTTGAGGTAGAATTTAATAATGGTCCTTCAGAGCCTGAAAGTACATTCCTTATTTGATGAGCACTTTGAGTCTCTGCTGAAAACGAGAACTAGTACAAAATATAACAGAAAGCAGAGGGTCACTGAGATGCAAGCTGCTTTGTAGGCCGTCGTGCATGCTTGTAAGTGTGTGTTGTGTTTGTGAGTATGTGTGTGTATAGTGCTTTCAACAAAATTTTATTCAAACAAATCAAATACACCAAAGTAGCACTGTTCTGGTTAAACAGTTTTAATCACATAACTCCCATCCTTTTCCCCTCCATTTTCAGTGCTGAGAGAGCTTGCTGGAGTCCTTACAGCACAGCTGACCTCAATGTGATTTAATCCAACCCTTTGTATTGGAAATCAAAACAAACTGATGCTTAGATAAATGAAGTGATCTAGCCAATGGCACACAAGCTAATGAAGGGTTGAACTGGAACTGAAATCTGCCCTCCTAACAGACCACTGTTATACTGCAGTATTGCTTTTTTCTACTTGAGAAGAGAAGGGGAGGCTAGGTTTATTGTGTGTGGGGAACCCCAGTGAAGATGTACGCATTGTAGGAGGTAAATTTCTTGCAATTCACATTTCAGTTTTGTGGATTCATTGTGAATTTCCTAAAAACTCTTTCCATATTTGGTGGAAAAAAAGACAGCGTTTAGGGGGATGAAAGAAAGAAACAGATAACATATAATACCTCATTTGCCAGCTCTCCTCTTCATTCTATTCAATATAGACACAGATTGGTCTTAATTTAGTAATTTACCCCATGGTTGAATTTTTAAATGTATTTGTAATTACAATATGGCTTTCTGTACGAAAGTCACATTTTGGAAATATGCTCAAGAAGAAAAGAACATTCATTGGAAGATAATCTGATTAGGAAAGAAATTCAATTAGAGGAATATATATTATGAAACTTTATCAGATATAGGGTTAATCGGAGTCCATGAGTCCAGAGTATTTCTAGGTGGTTGAATTGATGAGGAATTGACTGGCCTCTTTTTTCAAGAAACTAGCTGTTGCCAAAACAAGAGATTAGAAAGAGTAAGGAAAAAAAAAAAAAAGCAAAAGAGAGAGAGAGATATAAAAGGAAACCCCTGGCATGCCAAAAGGAACAAAGGTGATTTTCTGGAACTATACAAAACAGATGAGGTATGACTGATTTTTTTCTTTTTTAGCTTTTACTTGACTGGATAAATTAGAGTTCACAATACTAAGTGACAATCTAGTTAGTTTCCTTCCTTGACAAGACTGAATTATAGGCTATTATCTGTCTTATTTATATTTTAGACCTTACAAATTCAATATAGTCAAATGACCTTTCTTCAAAAAGAGACTTATGGGTTTACATTTTACTATATCTTTCCATTAACTATTAAGAAGCAACTTCATATTGTGCTTCTGGTAGGGTAAATCCAAGAACTTACATGGAAATATTTTGGC